CACCCCGCTGCGTGCCCCACCGCGCACGCCCCTACCCGCCACGCGTCCCTCCCCCGTTGCACGCGACCCTACCCGCTGCGCGCGTCCCTCCCCAGCCGCGCGCCCCTTCCCGCCGCGCACATCCCTTCCCCCGCCGCGCACATCCCCAACAGTGCAACAGTGACCATTGGGAACACAGCACAAGTTGGTGGAGCATCAATGTTGCACTGGTGGTACTTGCAAAAGGAGGAACAATGAATTAAGGAAGACAAAAAGGGGAAGAGTTATTATCTTGTCATTTACTTCGAGTCTCGAGAACGTTTCATGTCACTGTGGAGGTCAAATATCAGTTCTTTTCGTCTTTTCCAAGTCACGCTTCATACCATAACAAAGTTAAAAATCAAGCCTTATGTTGGTGTGTTCTTATTTCAAGTGTTTCATGTTGCATTGAATTTTGTTGAGGTCCTGACTTTCATTTAACATTGTGTCATCATAAATCTTGAAACAATTAAGAGGCCAGAAGTATCTTTAAGGAACGTCAAACAACAAGAGTTGAATTATCACACAAAAATATTTTCTGCTGACTTAAAATTTTGTATTTTTTTAGTCCGACTGCAGGTTCTGAAGGATGAGGCAAGATGGACCTTTGGGAATGAGAGAGTGCTAACTGATCGCCAGAATGGAAGATTTCCAAAATGAAAGGAATACAGTTAAATGAAATTGACTTACAAGTACAAGTATTAGGGCTCTTCAAAATCTTTTAATTACAGTTTATGACAACGTATTGCATGGATCAGTTGTCTTACTCTTTGTCTTACTGGTAGTTAAATTAAAAAGACGTAGTGATACTCAAAGCAGGATTCAAGGGCCATGAGTTTAGAAAGGAAAATGTGAATGCAATACTTTGGACTTCTTAAGTAGGACCTCATCAATAAAAATCCAATGGCCAGAGGAAATTCAGTACGCTCTGAACTGTACAGCTAAGTGTATTGTTCAACATTGCCTGTTTACACACTTGAAGTAAAAACACACCAACATAAAGCTTGACTCTTGACTTTGCTATGATGTGAAACTTGACTTTGAATTGACCCAAACAACCTGAGATTTGACAACCACAAATCACACATGTACATGTTTGCAGCGCCGGTGAATAAAAAGACCCAAATTAATTGACAATTCATAGAGCGCTTTGTGTTTTTCTACTGCCAAATTTTGGTGGGTTATGTTAAAAGCAGCCAATATCTGCAGCGCGAAGATTTGAAAATGGTAGAAACTGACAACAGAAACTGACAAATTTTACGTCTTTTTGTTTTTGGAATTGCTGCTGCGGCTTTTTTGGTGGTGCTTTTGAAAATTAACCAACATCCAAATGGATCCTTGCATCTACATGTACATGTATGAAGTGACATGAAACATTCTTGAAACGAAGAAAATGACTTGATAACAACTCACCCCTTTCTGACCTTCCTGAATTCATTGCTCCGCCGGTCACAAGTACAACCAATGTAACATTGATGCAGCCCACAAACCTGCGCTGTGTTCCCTAATGGCCACCAGCACGGGCAGCAAAGTGGAGCAGGTGCATGCTAACCTCGTCTGATTCCTGGACTTCTGATGAGGGTAGACTGCTGTTAGGCACTCTTTGGGGAGTTCTGAAAAGCAACAAAAAAATGAAGGGACTTTTAATTATGTTGTATTTTGAGAACAAAGTGTGCACTCACAATCATATGTATAACTTGTGAACAGTTTGTTTACACTTTCATTAGAGAGATACTTAAATTGTACATGTATAAAACTATTAAAGATTTATAAATGCAAAGCATGTAAGTTGGCAGTTTCCAGAATAAACTGAGATGGTAAATATACAAACCAGGAAGGCAATTTGTCAGTGTTCAAGCTTTTATATCTGCTCAAACACCAGGTACATATTGGGATACATGTACATGTCTTTTTCCTTCCTCCATGATGCACTACAGAAATGTGCTGGCTTTTTGGACGCTGCTTTTTCACTATTGAAAACCAGTGCCTTATTACGTAACAAGCCATAGACCAGAACAAAGGGCATTGCCCAAGCACTGTCTGCAAGCAGCTTGACAGCCCTCATTAGCCATGCAGGTCAAATTTGAATTTGAGTAGTGGAAGAGGTTTCTGGACATGCCCAGTTCAGCCAGCAAACCCCTACTTTTGAATTGACAGCATTTGGTAACCGTGAATGCTGCAAGGTGCAGATAACCATATCAAAAAACATTTTGGTGGGATGGGTGGTGGGCGAGTAAGTGAGCAAGTTGGAGTGAAAAGGGAAAAAATTAAAAGCAGTATAGAACATGAAAGAAGCAGATTTCTGAAAGCAGGCAATATAGTGACTTTCAAGGGAGAAGGATTAAAAACAGACACTGCAGAGAACCAAAATCTGTACAAATCTCCATAACTGAAGCCTTCAGTAGAAGTTAACATCCTGGCCCAATTTAAATAAAGCACAAGGTCTTCAGGCCACGTTTGAAGTTTTGCTGATTACTGAGGGGAGATTGGGGGATGAAGATAAATTCCTAAAACATCCCACAATATTTGGTACAATCACAGTGCAAATACTGTGCAGTTTCCATTATTTCAGTTATAATGATAAGAAATCTTTATAGTCTGGGTTTATAAAATATGTACACACTTACGACCTGAACATTTAATTTTAGGAACCAATGTTTCAGCTCACAGGCCTCGACCTTTAAGTTTTGAGGGTCCAATCAAACAGATCATTTGTAAATCCATCCAATTGATTGTTTGCAATGCTGTCTGTGCATTATGCTCTGTTCTTGGCTGCGATGAAACGGTTTTTCTTGGAGGGCACTGCGATCTGTGCACTGGGGCATCGCGACAATGACTGCTGGTGACCACTGTAAAGGTCAAGGCCTGGCTCCATGAATGATGAATGTGATGAACACATGAGCATGGGAATTCAGTTTCAGTCCAACATTCTGTGTATTTGCAGGGTGGTTTGGGTGTCTTTTTTTGGGGGGGGGTTGACAATTTCATTTTAAAAAGTCAGTTAATATCGCCAATCTTCACTTCTGGTAACGTACTTTCCACCTCACCCTCCAACCCTGTGACCCAGGTTCGAATCCCACTGGCAAGCTGACATAAGAAGTGGAATGAGGAGTCAGACACACACCTGAGTAAGCAAAACCCTTCAAATTGGCCTGAAAAAAAAAACTTTTGCTGTAAATAGGATGAAAAATCTTACCCTTTTTGACAAGTCCAAAAAGTCTCGTTCGAAGTGGAGAGGGCATCCCTTCTACCGGCATCTACAAAGTCGGTTTCGTCAACCTGAGGGAGAATCAAAGAAACAAAATTATCATTTCCGTTTGTGGAAGAGAAATTGTAAGCTACCCTGTAACCCATGCTGAACTTTCACGGAGCTTTCCAACAGCACAAACAGTTCAGAATTCAAAGGCCTCCAAAGATGCTACTCAAATAAACCAGCAAGTTTTGTGTGCCAAAAAGTTACATTGCCTCCCAACTTTGAAAGGTCAGTAACAGAAAACCGTTAATGGTGTCACAGTTGAAGTTCGAGATGCGTTCATTTGGAGAGACATTTAAAAATAATTTTCAAGGTAAAGCTGATTTGGCTTTGCCACTTCCATGTGAGGAAAGAACCAGTATTCATTAGTTTGAAAAAGTGAATTTTTATCAGCATGTGATCACTTTAGCTGATATCAGACCACAAACCAGTCCCCATTAAAGGTTGTTCTGATACGAAAATATATATACCATCGCCATGAATTGCCAGATAATATAGCATGTTTCATAACAATGACGGATTACATCCGCTAATGACAATTGAAAAATGATGGCAAATTCCCGCAGCTCGGTCTCTTGTTCCGAGTACGGTCTTTCGTTACAAGGTCCAGCTCCTTTGTCCAATTTCAGACACCCCGGCTATGCTTGCAAACCCAAGGCGCCCGGATCCGGAAACCCAGGAGGCAAGCGGTTAAACTGATTTTTCTTCTAATGTGCAGGAGCAGTACTTTCCTCAAGATTTTAGTCAGCACTGTCTAAATGTTCATGACACAAACGTGCAATTTTTCTGTCTTAATTTTGTGAAATATACGGTGCAAACCTTTCTGTAGTTCTGACACACATGATAAGATCACAGATGTGAAATACGCATCAGCAGGGACAATGGAGGGACTAGCTAGCAGCTTCCTTTCAGTTTAAAGCTTAAATGCACCATTTGAAAAACAACACCCAACTGAACAAGATATCCAATTGTGGATCATTATAAGGTAGTTTTTTGATAAAAGTTACCCAAGATTTTAGTTATGCTATGGTCACAGTGACAAAGCAACATCGCTGGGTGAAATGTAAAATAATCACCATCCAAGGTTTAACAGTCTCTGTGCAAGTCTAAAAGGAATATGATCACCATTATCGCATGCCTGAAGACACCACTGCACAAAGCCTTGCGCTTGGAAGGAAGACCACACATTTAACTTTTCCTTTGAGAAACAACGTTGGCCGTGCACATTGTAATTTTAAAACAAGGGATTTTTAAGGGTTCCCCAACAGTCCTCAATCTTCCAAAAGGTGAAGGATTATTAGGTTTAAAAGCAAGCTCTACTCAAGTTGAATTCTAGCAGAACAAATTAAAAAAACTGGTGGTATCCATTTTTTTTAGTTCAGCAAGGTTTCCGATTTTTGCTCAGAGTAAGTCTGATCTATCTGCACATTCCTACAACGTTAACAAAATTAACAAATTTCATTTCAATCTAAACTAAAGGTGTATTAACAGGTATTTACACGTAGTCCAACCCTAAACCACCGCAATCCTCCAAAATCCTCCGGGTGGTTTTGGAGGATTGAGGATGAATGGTGATTGAAACATGGAGGATTTTGGAAGATTGAGGATGAATGCTGATTTAAAAGCTGGAGTATTTCGGAGGATTGAGGATGAATGGTCACATAGTGGTGCATATGGTCACACATTATACTGTTTGCAATATACATGTACCCAAGGACAGTGTGTTCCATTGTTCACTGCTGCTGGTCATAAAATACACAATCCTCAACTGCAGTGAGTTAAAACAAATGCACATGTCTGCTTTGTTTGTGACAAAAGTAAAGCTGTTTGCCAAATCTGCAAAAAACCAGCTTCAGCCCAGCAACCAACCTAGCCTAACCCTCTCCCTCCCCCAAAATAAAAAAGACCAAAACAAACAAACAAACAAACAAACAAACAAAGTACGGCCATGGAGGATTTTAGAGGATTGAGGATTCAGGTACCTTTCATTTTGTGCATAAGCCCCAAAACTGGAGGATTTTGGAGGATTGAGGATGAATGCAGTTTTTGCATGAAGTCGGGCAATTGGAGGATTTTGGAAGATTGAGGATGTGCCTTAGTAAAAAGGCCCTAGTGGGTAAGGGTTTTAATAGGACTTTATATCATTCTTAAGTACTACTTGTAGGTACATGTATCTGCTCTATTTTTTAACGAAATAAACAAGGCAAACTGCTGCAAATTATTTCTCGTTTTGCAATGATGCTTTATGATCAGGTGCCAGGCCTGCAGGCATCAAAAAGCTACCGGTACATCTGGGCTAGCTGAGGCTACCATCAGGGTTAACTTGAAAGCGGGGATAGCGCAGTCACATGGCTACCACAAAGAACCACTGAAATTCACCCGCTGGTACAACTGGTTGAGCGGCAGATTTGGGGGCAGGGATCACTACGGTTTGGGGCTGGTTGATTGTGACGAGCTTAATCATAATTATGCATGGTGCTAGGATGCTCAATGCATCTCAACATGAAAAGATGGAGTACATTGGGATGGGACGACTCATGAAGGTCCGCAATCTGTTTACAGTTATTCTACGACGAATAACAGAAATCAATTCAAGAAAGTACAAGGAAAACCTAACAAATTTGTATGGGGCAGAAAAAATTTGAATAAGCCCGCAATGGGTGGCTTTCAACCGAGGTTTCCACTTTGATAGCACAGTGCGTCTTAAACACTGGATGAATACTCTGGCTTAGCTAAGGCACTTGGTTATGGACTAGTTACAAGTCAATGTACGAGTCAACGAAACCATGGACGTGTATACATGTGCATGCACTTAAGCATTCACACCACACCATACAGCACAGCAGCACTGCTCAGCAGTTACAATGTTACAGGCATTGGATGCGCAAGCATCTACAGACAACTACAGGCGTTTTTATCATCATCGGCAGGTCCGCTGTATTTATAATGAGACAACGCCAATGGCTGGCTCAATGCCAGCATTTTCTATTTGATTTGAGGAAATCAAGAGTGGCACCACTTACTATTGATTTCTTTCAGCAATTGTTAAAATTGAAAGGTCTTTTAATTGTATTTTCCAATCCGTTGACGTCATCAATTTAACTCCTGTACTGTCTGCATGAAGGTCATCATATCAACCACTTTTCAAGCAATTACATCAAATTTTGCCACAAACATCAATTGAAATGTAGTTTCTTCATTTTCCACCTGCCACTAGAGGGCCATTAAGTATTTCATGACACGCACAACGGTCTCATTTTATGCAACATTTACAGAAGACCAACACCGTTCAAAGCAAGTTCACGCCAACTTCAAATACATATTCAAATACATACGAGCTCCAAGGGACCCTCCAAAAGACCTTGTCTTATGGTGAACCTTGTGTTACTGTTGATGCTTATCCCATTCACAGAGCTTAAGCCTGCACGGTGTCATGCACCGGCAAGCATTGTTAATTTGTTATACACTTCTGCAATGGTACTGTACATGTACACTGTACTGCACTGAATATGTAATGGATTAGTGTTCGATACACCAGGTGACAGGATAGTGCCCAATCACCTAATCAGTGATGATCAAGTGATGGAACTGAACATCAGAAAGCCAGATTGGTTAACCGATGCCTACAATTTTTAAATCAATTTTAGTCCAACTTAAACCTACATGTACTTTTAATCATCTTTAAACCCAATCTTTAACTTAAACCAAGTTAAAACATTAGGCTGATGATGTGCACTGAACCCTGACATTTTGAAGGTCAACATTTCTGAAACCTCAAGTCTGATTAAAGTGTAACTCTGTATTCATCTTACATGTAGGTTTTTTTTTATACAGTACATTGCAATTGAAAGTTAATCTGCAAATAGGAAACTCTTTCCCACTTTTAGTCTTTTCAGGGCTCGCAGAATCGGTAAATCCGACGTCCCGGGACAACCAAAATATTTTGCAGGACAACCAACTGTTCCAGGCTGCCAGCCCGATGGGCTAGCACCTGTTTTCGGCAACACAGTTTTTGCAATTGCATTTCAATACTGGCATTTTAGCCATTTCAGTACCGTGTTGAGAAAAAAGATCACAAGAAAGACAGCGAAACAAGATTGACATCCTTAACCTTGATGTTGCATGACTGTACTTGTTGGGATAGGTGCACTGTGGTACGTCCAGTCAAATCGTGCACCATAATACGTCTGGTCGAATCACTGACATGACAAATGCAGCGGCCCCAGCCGTGTCTATATTCAGTCGTTTTCCTTGTTGCAGATTGCGAAAACTATATTCAGACAAACACGGCTCAATTATCTTCAAATTCCAATGAAACGTGGGATCGGAGATCTACCTTGTACATGTATGCAGAAGTTACTTCAAAATGTTTTCAAATTTTAAGCTTTTAATTTGTCTTACTGGATCAACAAAAGTGATGACACTTTTCGCAGTTCTGGATTGGTTTAGCCAGTTCCGGATTGCTTCAAAAATGTCTTTACATATAAAAAGTATAGTCAAGCGTAAACCCATTTCTCAGCCAAAAAATTGTAACAAGCATATTTTCTAATAAAGCATGTCTTATAAATTAAAGGGAATTAGTTCATAAATTAGAAAGTCTGTGCATTAAAATGGATAGCCTGCATAAATTTTGACTCAACTTTGATGCTCAGTGAGCCTTCGACCATAAATCCCCCCCCCACGCTGCAAAGTTGACAAACCCATTACATCACGTACATATCTCTTACTATCTATAACTTTCATGGAATCTTGTGTAGTAAGTAACCTACCAACCTGTAATTTTTTCAGGCATTGATTTTTTTTTGTACTCCTGTGAGAACAAAATCTGTACTGCAAGACTTTTAGTTTACCTTTCCGACAAGAGGTTGTCTCAGCATGAAATGCTGCAGAGCAATAGCAAAATGGTGGGTATTTATATCAAGCAATCCTTCACTAGGAAAATGACTGGAGGCCTAATTACTAAAAGCTTCGAGACCACGTGGGGCAAAAACTTCCTTGTCAGACAACTCAAAATAAAATTCGGGCAACCAGATTTTAAACTCCCCTGCATGAAGGGCAACTCCATTTTTAAAAAATTTTGTGAGCCCTGCCGGGGAATTAATTAACTTTCATTTCACAAAACTGTGATAACCTTTTCTCACAGTGGAAAAAGATTTGCAGAGATTTTCACACAATCAAGAGAAGACTTTAACTGATTTTTTTTGCAAACTGGGAAGAAAAGGGAAATAATTTTCACAGATTTTCTCACATGTGGAAAAATCTGGAGATTTTTAAAGATTTTCACGCAAGTGGGAAAAGATTTTCATAAATGCTCACTCCTAGTTTTCTTTATAACTAGTATACATGTATATATACAGGTACAATGTACATGTTGATACTGAAGTCATATGTTCTCTGGACTTGAAATTGCATACATGTACCTGTGTTCTCTGTACTTGATCACAAGACTTTCATAAATACGCATCTCCCAATATGGCAAACAGAGGAGAATCAATCTATAATCTTTCCTGTTTGCTAGAATTTTGAAGGCAAACATTTTGCTAGAGGAAGGCAGCATTGAAATTTCAAGGCAGTCTATTTCTTGCTTTTGGTCAAGATACAAGGCAAATGGTCAAATCCAATCTGGCTGTGATGGAGGTCAGACAGTACTACTGCACCCGCATTCAGGGCTTCTGGACAAACAAAAAAAGTTTTTCCAATTATCACCAGTGTAATCTGAGCACTGCATGTGTCCCATAGGGTGCAACGTGTTCCGTCATTCAAGCCACACTGACAACTGTGTTACATCAACAAAGTCCTTGACTCAATCCCATGCAAGCTGACATTACTGGCATTTCTCAAACAAAACATACACATAGATTATTGTCTGATCTAGATTTTCATTTCGTTCAGATTGCCCTCAGAGCATAACAAATTTCCTTGTGGCCTAGTGCTTAACGAATCTTGCTCCTGGCTCATGAATGATAATGTATTCAGAGTTTAATGAATCTTATGTCACTGCGTGCAGAGTGCGAAATTAGACCAAAAACGTGACCTACATTTTATGATGCGCAAAGAATTATTGGGCGATTTCATGTCTGTGCATATACACATGTGTGTTCACCCGATGATGAGCGATTAGCCCTGATTAATGCCTTGAGCATAATTGACGTCATTCTAACACAAAACTAATAATAAATCGATGCCATAACCCCATTTATTGTGTTGTTATTTTAAGAGCTGTTATTGATATGTTAGTCAGACAGTTTGCACGAGTACCTTTGATTTTGTTTGGACAAACACAATAAGTGCTCGGAAAAAGTCCGATGTCCGACCATGATTTCACTCTCTAGTGTGGATTCTTGTCTTGCTTGGGATGCATCCACATTTTATTTTATTCTAAAACTCAGAGTCTTACATTTAAAATAAATTGGTCTTCTCAAATTTCCTTGAACTTTCCATGACTTCTGTCATTTTTACAAAATTGCACGACTTTCTGTTGCCTAGAAATGGAAACTTAAATTCAATTTCATTTTTTCAGGAGTTTCCATGATTGCCGGAACTCTGCACGATAAAATACAAAGGTTTCACTTTCCGTATAAAAGTTCAATTTACTTCTAATTGTTGCATTATTTTTGCAACATTTTTGCATCATATTTGCAACCTTTTTGCATCATTTTTGCAGTTTTCACACATGGATTATCTTACATTTTCTTTTCCTTTTTTCTTTTCATGTTGTGTTCGCCAAAATGTTGCACCATTGTCCAATGGGTTTTGAACCGCTGTAGCTCTTTTCAGATCCGATTCTACGCAAGTTCGCAGGGCGGAGCGGGGATGGGGGGGTT